TAAACTTTATGTCTACGAATGGTGATATCTAAATGTTTGCGAACTTATTTACTATACAATCAAGACTGAACTTTTCTTAGATAGTAATTTTTCGAAATGTTGCAATATGGTTCATCATTCCTATGTTTAGATCAAGGGGGAACAAACTGATTTCAATAGCTGAAATCAAGTTGAAATCATTTGAAATCACTTGAAATCACCTGAAATCATCTGAAATCGCCTGAAATCACTTGAAATCATCTGAAATCACCTGAAATCATCTGAAATCATTTGAAATCACGAAATCACGAAATCAGTTTGTTCCCCCTTGTGTTATACTGTATCAGATCAAAAATCGAAGTTTAGTTATTAGTTACATTGCTAAAAATTTATATGATCATCGAATTACATGTGCCAAACTTAAATGAATAAGTTGCTTGATTGTTGAAAAATAGATACTAATTTTGATTGATTTATGTCATTGTAACGAACTGTCTTTCAACTAATTATCCATGCGAAGAATTGTCCTAACATCATTTTGTAGAACACGAAAAACTGCATCGATCTATGTTATTAATTTTGACATCCAGATTAAAACACAACAAAAACTATAGACATTACTGTAACGACAAAATGAGAGATGTTATGACAGACTGGACGAGTAGCTTACTGCCACCCTCGGTAATAATGTTTATTAGCTACTTTATATCTCCAGAATATGTCTATTGCACATTCAACACACACTTATATATGATACAGAAACAAAGGGAGAGAGACGAGACAGAGAGAACAATAGAGAGAGAAAGAGGAAGGAGAAAGGAGGAAGAGCAGTGAGCCGTGACGCATATATCGGCACAATTACGATTATCATCCAAAACACTGAATACCTACAAAAAGCCCACACACCTCAAAATAATGTGATCTTGGAAAAACATTTTTTTCTGTCCAAGAAAAAAGAAAACTGAATTTACCAAAAGTCGTAGAACTTCAAGTTCTGTCTTTCTATCATACTGAAAATGGTGACTGAGAGGTGGCAGACTTACCATAAAATCCTGCGGTATGTTTCAAATAACTCAGGTTCAGTTAGATTATCAAATGTAGCTCCATAAAATTTCTATACAACTGCAGACAGATCATCTATTATAACAGTTTTTCGAAAATTGTTCGCAAAATCTGAAAGCTATAGATTCAACATAAGTAAACAAAAAGATAACTCTTCAATTGAATAATTCTTAAAATAAGGATGTACATGTGAATGTGACTGTGGGTGCAAATGTGCGGCTGCAATGTGTATGCAAGTCTAATGGGTACTGTGTGTCGCGCTTCCAGTGTTGCCAGGCTGACTGTCTCAGATGCACCCATATCCAACCTCGTACCGACAGCCATATCCACACCCACACTCACCCCATCGCAATAGCAACTTCTGAGTTTTCTAAATACAACTGGAACCAAAAGCATCGCTCTTAAAAACACCGCAACTCTGATTCAACTTCTCCATCTCAAGAGAAAAACGATGAAGATCCTCATCAAAACTAACATCTCAAGAATTTTATTTTTGCAGAAATAAAATATAAAACTACTACATTTTGTTTTTTAAATCTTCAATGTTTCTTTTCACAAGCACCAAATGTGGATGAGTAGAAGGCACCGACTTTCTCAAAATCTCAAGTGATCTTTCGTACGATGAAAGTGCTTCCGAGTACTCGCCCATGTGAGAATACACCATAGCGATGTTGTTGTAGGAAGTAGCCAAGGAGGGATGATTCGGAGGAAGAGCTATTTTGAAGATTTCAAGTGATCTTTCAAACGATGAAAGTGCTTTCGAGTACTCGCCCATCTTATCATACACCATTGCGGTGTTGTTGTAGAACGTGGCCAAGAAGGGATGATTCGGAGGGAGAGCTACTTTGAGGATTTCAAGTGATCTTTCGTATGATGATAGTGCTTTCGAGTACTCGCCCATCTCATCATACACCATTGCGATGTTGTTGTAGGAAGCAGCCAAGTCGGGATGATTCGGAGGGAGAGCTATTTTGAAGATTTCAAGTGATCTTTCGTACAATGAAAGTGCTTTGGAGTACTCGCCCATCTTATCATACACTGAAGCGATGTTGTTGTAGGAAGCAGCCAAGGAGGGATGATTCGGAGGGAGAGCTACTTTGAGGATTTCAAGTGATCTTTCGTATGATGATAGTGCTTTCGAGTACTCGCCCATCTTATCATACACCATTGCGATGTTGTTGTAGGAAGTGGCCAAGTCGGGATGATTCGGAGGGAGAGCTATTTCGAAGATTTCAAGTGATCTTTCGTACGATGACAGTGCTTTCGAGTACTCGCCCATGTCATCATACACCATACCCATACTGTTATAGGAAGAAGCCAAGTCGGGATGATTTGGAGGGAGAGCTATTTTTCGAATTTCAAGTGATCTTTCGTATGATGATAGTGCTTTCGAGTACTCGCCCATCTTATCATACACTGAAGCGATGTTGTTGTAGGAAGCAGCCAAATCTGGATGATTCGAAGAAAGAGCTATTTTGTAGATTTCAAGTGATCTTTCGTACGATGCAAGTGCTTTCGAGTACTCGCCCATGTTATCATACACTGAAGCGATGTTGTTGTAGAAAGCAGCCAAGGAGGGATGATTCGGAGGGAGAGCTACTTTGAGGATTTCAAGTGATCTTTCTAACGATGAAAGTGCTTTGGAGTACTCGCCCATCTTATCATACACTGAAGCGATGTTGTTGTAGGAAGTAGCCAAGGAGGGATGATTCGGAGGGAGAGCTATTTTTTGGATTTCAAGCGATCTTTCTAACGATGAAAGTGCTTTCGAGTACTCGCCCATGTGAGAATACACCATACCGATGTTGTTGTAGGAATTAGCCAATAAAGGATGATTCGGAGGGAGAGCTATTATGTTGATTTCAAGTGATCTTTCGTACGATGATAGTGCTTTCGAATATTCACCCATGTGAGAATACACCATAGCGATGTTGTTGTAGGAAGTAGCCAAGGAGGGGTGATTCGAAGGGAGAGATATTTTGATGATTTCAAGTGATCTTTCATACGATGCAAGTGCTCTCGAGTACTCGCCCATCTTATCATACACCATAGCGATGTTATTGTAGGAAGTAGCCAAGTCGGGATGATTCGGAGGGAGAGCCATTTTGTAGATTTCAAGTGATCTTTCAAACGATGAAAGTGCTTTCGAGTACTCGCCCATCTTATCATACACCATTGCGGTGTTGTTGTAGAACGTGGCCAAGAAGGGATGATTCGGAGGGAGAGATATTTTGATGATTTCAAGTGATCTTTCGTACGATGAAAGTGCTTTTGGGTAGTCGCCTTGTTGGTCTTCGATTGCTCCTTGGCTACTCAGAGCATTCGCTCGCTCTATGTTCGTGGAAGATGTGCCTAATAGGTGATCACAAATTTCCTGGGCTGTTTGGTAGTGGTGAAGCGTGAGCATCAAGTAAACCATGCGATTCCAGCCGTTTCCGGCGTTTTCCTGCCGTATAGATTGTGTGAGTAGAGATAGTTGTGGATCATCGTCGTTGGTGAGAATGAGTTGTACTTCGTAGAGGTTGGAATTGTTGAGGACCTGTTTGATTTCGTTGACACGAAAAATCGTGTGCATAGAAAAGAGGATTTCTTCTTCGTCCTGAAACGAACCCATTGTTTGGATGTTGGCGAAGGGAGTTCTTGAAATTGAAGGTGTGATACTCATTATGAAAAGTACACCGACTAAGTTAACGTCTGATGTGTTACTTTCGGCGAATGCTAGGGAAACGTCTTGATTTCGGCTGGTTGATAAAAAGTTATTAAAGGATAGAAGACCACCCTTGGTTTTTTTCAGTTTGTCGAAGTCAGTTTTGGACATTCCTTGGCCGCGGTATACAACAAAGTCAGCACTTCCTGCTTTTTTAAACTGTTCTTTGTGTAATTCTTCGAGTTGGCAGTGAAGATCTCGAATGAAAAAACTCATTTTCTTCATTGTTAGAGTATCCAATGTTCGAAGTGACCAGTTAACCGTCTGGTAGATGAAAGGCGCATGAATGTACCACGGAATTGATCTCTCAGGACTGTAATTGTTCTGGAACTCTTCGATGGTATTCAATGTTGTCTTATTGTCGTTACATTTATCCCGCCAAAATTGAATAAAGTCTGTGATTTCTTCTTTTGTGTGATTGATTTCAAGTGCAATTTCTTTAAACAATTGTGTGTACATAAATGAGGGTTCTATTTGATCCAAGTTTGTTTTTGAATTATCTTCGCCAATGGTGACAAAACTCATAGAGATATCGTTTTGGTAACACTGTTTGATTGCACGTAGTAGTGCTTCACAGAGACGATTGATATCTGTGTATATGCCTTTAATTTTGTTGGAATTCTTGTTCCAATCGTATATTAGGGATTCTCTGCTGCAGAAGATATAAACACTCAGAAGACGAGGAATATCATCTACGATAGGTATCATGTCTTGCTCTTTAGTATTTGACAGAATAAGAAATGCCTTTTGATCATTGAAGTCAGTGAGAAAATCTATACCTTCATCGGGTCTGGTGAAAATATATACTTCATCGGTCACCTGTTGCAGCTGTGTTAGTGTATTTTTACATTTTTCATTGTTTGGATCAATGTTCTCGTCAATCCAGATAATTACATAGCTTTCAGTCATGCATTGCGTTGGCTCCATAACACTCGATAATGTCGTCGCATTTGTTATGGTATCTGCTATGGATGTAGAAAGCATTTCATTCGGTTCTTGTCCATGCATTTTGAATTTATTTGCCGCTTTATAACAAACCAAGAATGGAGAGAAGTTGTTTGAAATTCAGTCAGAAATATTTCTTATCTGTTGATCCGGTAAGAGTCGTTTCTCTTGACTTTTTTACAACGTCAAATGTGCTTCTGTTTGTCGACGCTTAATAACGAATTTCAGTAGTCATAAAAGAAAATGGTGTTGTAAAGAAAAAATGATAAAGGTATTCAGTGTCGTAGTGCATTGTATTGTTGCTCTTCGGCGATTAAAAAAGAAACTTTTTTCTCTCGGATAAGAACTAAAAAACAACAGTGCGACACATGCTTTGATTTTTTTCATCTTTCGAAAGATACTATGATGGTGCGAACTAAAATTATCACAAATAAAGTCAATCTTATTTTAGATCACAATTGAAAACTTAATTTTCTGTTTACTCAATATGCCGCACATCATTGAGTAACGGCTTATGTGGCCAAGTAGCAATGTTCTTCCTACTCAAGTGAATAGTTCTCGATTTAAAGAGGAGAAGAGAAGGGATGGATGAGAAAGAATAACCGTCTTTCGTATTTTGCATGTGCTCCCAGATAATGCAACTAGGGCAGGAAGTGGTCTGTGTCCATGGAATTTAGGCCAATTTCATGTGTCTCAACACACAAAACAAATCTTGTCTCCATTTCTAGGTGAGATTTCACCTTTTGGCAGCATTGAGAAACAATGTCCTAATGTATTGAGTGTGTGGATACGGATATCTTCTCATCACCCACACCCACACCCGCACCTATACCCACACCTACACCCTTGAGAATAAAAATAAATTTTATGTTAGAGGACTATATCCAATCATTTCAAGAAAACTATTATTAGATAACTACGCTCTCGTTAAATATCTCTTCATGTAACACGATTTAATATTTCATAGTTGAAAAAATAAATTCAGATGATACTTCTATTAAGCGATGACTGAATCAAGATGCAAAATTATCATTCATTCATTTGTACATTGTGTAAAACCAAGAATTTATGTTGTCGAAATAAAGGATGGCAATCTATCGAATGCCGTATAGATAATAAAAAAAGCATCGTGATAATTTAAAATGCTGTAGAGAATACATTTCCCACGAGAAAACAGAAATCCTCCTATTTTCCTCCTTTTTCATGTCAGATCCTCCTAAAAATTTTCAATGACAATCCTCCCTATTCCTCCTTTTTTAGAATAGAGCGTTCACATGCCAGCTATCTATAACAAACCTAATAATTCCAACTAGTTACGTGTCCGTAAACAGATTTTTTTCTACATACAGTTTGCTTCGATTTCAGACCTTAAACATTGATTGGTTGAGCACAACATCATTTGTTCAATATTGAAACAGACTTCAATTCAGACGGTATCAGTTAATAATAAAATTCCAAAATAATTTATCTATCCAATGACTTATGAACTAATACAAAATCCTTGTCTCTTGATTATACTGTGTGTTGATCAAATCGGTTCGTACAGCACTCAATCCTTGAACATTCTTTTTTCTAAACATTAAGATGTTTTACTCCCATCTTCAAATGGAAAAACTCTTAATCTGAACACTTCACATCAAAAATCAGGCAAAACTTCTTGTGTCTAATAAGTGATGCAGTAATAGTGAACTATCTTTTTTATTTTCTATTTATTAAAAAACCAATAAGGTATGGATGGGGTGTGGGTGTACCGTATATAGAGAAAAAGGAATCAAATACACCCACACTCACCCTCAAAATAAGTAAATTAAATTGATTATGGACAAACTTTTCAATGACGATTGAGATGAACGAAGAGAAAAGTCAGAACAAGTAACCAATGTGACCAGTCAAAAATACGAAAATAAAGTTATTATTCAATAGGAAACTTACAATATTCATAATCAAAACAAGAATGAATGAATATTTGATCCCTAACAATTTGTTTTTTGTAGTTTTATATACTGATGATCTGAACATTTTTGTTTGTATTTCAGAATATATCGTTAACCACTTTTCGCTCTTCTTCTTATGAAAATAACAATCAAAGAATGCTTCATTTATTGAAAAGTAGCTATTAACTATAGACAACAACAACAAAAAAAAAAATCTTAAACAACAAAATTACTACCACCATAAATATAAGTCACGATTAATATATTTAATAGAATAATCACTGAGTAAGTTTTCTGATTTAATTAAAAAATTTAATTCTCTTAGGCATACTTTAGGTATTTGTGAAATGCACAAAAAGAATAAACGACGTATTTTATCAGTAGTTTTTGAAAATAAAAATCGTATAATTTGACTAATCTCTTTTTCATTGATTCTAATTTTAAGATATTCAACTTGTGGAAATAAATAAATAATCAATTGAAATATTTCTAATGTACATTTTTCTCGAATATCTATATTTGTAATTTTATTGGTACTTGATACATATCGAAAAATTTCATGCTGTTCAATTAATTTTAAATATATTTCATTTAAACATAAGAAATCTAATTTTAATACATGTAAATTAGGTGTAAAATATATTAATTTAATAATTTGTTCAAAAGGAAAATTTGAACTTTTTATATTTAATTTAGTTAATTGCTTTAAAGGAAGAATACAATTAAGAGTTGTTGATATTGAATCATCAGATGTTTTAAAATAATGTTCAATTGTTAATTGATTTGCATTTGGAAAATAATTTACATAATTATTTATTATTTGTTTACTACATATATGAACATGTTTAACTATATTTAAATTCTTTTCTTGCATATTTGAACAAACATGTTGATCGAATTGCCAATAAAATATATAAGTTTTTCTTCTATATGGATTTGTTGAATAAAAAATGCCACTATCAAGTGTTTCTTGTAAATCATGTTGATGTGTAAAAAACCACTGTTTTTTAATCCAAAATGATGAATTAAATTGATTTATTAAATCATGATATGTACCACCATCATGACTTATATCAAACGTATGTAAATTAGGCATTGACGATAAAATTAATTCCTCCCATTGTTTTGCATCTAAATATGTTTGATCAGATTTTGTTGAAATATGTAAAATTTCAGTATTATAAAAAAAACGTTTAATTAATTTTTGCAATAGATTGAAATCAATTGAATCAAGTTTAATAGAAACATTATTTAAATATTTTGATACAATAGGGTCTTCATCAATATCTGGATCATCACATCCAACAAGACAATCAATTGATAAATAACGAAGTTTTGGAAGACAAAAAAATATATCATTAAGTGATTCAATTGAAAATCGATTATTGATCAGAAAATATTCAATAGGACTATCTTTAAAATCAGTCATATAAATAGGCATTGGTTGTTCATCATATTTTGTTCGATAGGTTAGTATACAAGATTTTAATTTAGGTAAACTAAATATAGAAATAAAAAAGATACTTGTATCTTGAACATAATCAATAGGAGTAAGAACTAATGAATCTAATTTTGGTAAAAAAGCTAAATGTTTGAGAATGCTATTAAGATATTTTGTATCGATATTATCGAGAATTAATCTTTCAAGTTGAATATAATCACAAATAATACGTGCTGGAAAGAAAATAATATCAATAGTAAATGGATTTGATAAACGAAGATAATTAATTCGATGTTTATTTGGTTCAATCATATTTTTATGATAAAGTTCAAAATTTGATTTTGACATTGTTGAAACATTTATTTGAATTAGAAGATTTGTATTAACAATTATATTTTGAAATCGTTGATTAAGATAAAAAAATCCTTCGTAAATATGATAAACATCAAGATATTGAAATATTTCATAAATTGTTTCGTTTGCTAAATTTTCAAAACAAGATCTAAATTAAACAAAACTAGATAATAAAACGAATTTAAAAAAACTGACTTGTTTTTTATTACTAAAAATAAACAAAAAATTAAAACTTGATATAGACAAAAAAAATAATCTTACATTCATTTTGTAATTTTTGTCTTTTATTGGTGTTATAAACATAAACACAGTCGTTTTCTGTTCGTTCCATCTTTGAAATAGTAAATAACGATGACACTAATCTCGAATAACGAAAAAGAACATATATATATATAATACACACGTGAAATAACATTCTATCTCTCTCTCTATCTCTCTCTTTTATCTATAGATGACCATGTCGTCTTATTATGATCTTTTATATATGAAAAGTTCGTCGATATGCAATAGTTTTTGAAAGAAGTGTTACTTATTATTTGGAATAATATTATTTTCATACAAAGAATTGTCATTGAATAAATACTCGTTAAAATACATAATAATAAGCTCCAATCCATTGAAAATCAGAAATGATTTTTTTTCCATCTCTAAAGATTAAATCAAGATCGAATGATATTTCTAAGGAAAGTGTCAAACAAACTGAAATATTTGATCCAATACAGAAGTGATGTTCTTTAAAAATTTCTTTTTCAACAAATAATTGTTTAAGTGCTCAAATATTATTGATCGATTAAACAGCAATCTATTATGACAGAATTTTCTTATGAAAATAAAATGTTGAATGAAGCAAATGTCTTACTGATACCCAGTAGCGTAGCGAAGGGAGGGGCAAATGGGCAATTGCCCATGTCATTTGTAGATTTGCCCATTGTAATTTTTGTTGATAAGCTTTTGCCCATTGAAATTTTATTTTTTCAGAATTGTTTATTTATTTTTGGATTAAATACTGTTTGTACTTTTTTTCTTCGGTCTAAATCACATATGCACTCTATGGCCAGGCGAGCAAAGGACGGGTAAAAAGACTATTTATTTTTCTAGTCATGACTATACGTCAGGTCTAGTCTTTTTCTCAATAAGTCCTACTACATGACTAGTCCAAAATCATTTGGAGTCTTTATATCCCGTTCTGACTAGATAATTGACTGGCACCATTCTATTTGTTATGTGTAGTCATTTTCGCAAAAAGACTAGACATGTTGTGCCGTTCGGATGCCTGTCCATAATAGATTTTAAATCGAAAAAGGAGGGGTATCTGTGACGCTGCATGTAACAGATTATAGTCTTATGTAGTGATTTAGTCCGGACTAGTCTAGTTTATAGAAATATAAGCAGAAGGTTGGATTCGAACATGCATACAATATGTAACTTACCCATCGTTTAATCGATTGAACTATATCATCGAGTAATCAACTCTTATATGTCAGTACATATTCTGAATGCTGTTTAATACAGTTTTACTCAGACTTTTCAAGTTATGATATAAAAAATATTTATCATAAAATTCAAAACTATTTAAATAAGCCTGAATAAAATTAATTCAGAACTTAAACAAAATTTTTGATCTTCAGTATTTGAGAAAAATTATTTTGTATTGGAAAACAAATTAAAAAAATATTTTTCCATATGATGATTTCTATTTATTTTAGTTTAATTTTTTCGATTTCAAGTTTAAAATAAACTAAAATTATTTAATTTAAATCTATCTTTAAATTCAAATTGTCAGAATTGATACTAAAAATAAAATATAATTCTCATATAAAAATATAAAAATTGTTTTTCGAATAAAATTATTCGTAATTCCTTTTGCAATTCAGAAATTTTATATGATTTAAATAGGCAATTTTAGTGAAGACGTAAACACCTGCTTTGCAATTCTATTTACTTTCTTGTGCCTCAACATGTCTTTCTAGTTTCGATACGAACCAGCCTAAGAAAGTTGTCTAGAAAATAAGGTCGAAGCAAACAGGACATTTTGAAGAGTTTAGACTAGTCTGGATGAGGATCAGTACTAGCTTCTCAAATATGGACTAGTCATAAATAATACAAATGACGCTTCACACTAGTCTGCATCACTATTGGAAATAGTCCAGTATTGACGAGTCTGGACAATATGAATAGATTAGACTTGACTAGCGAAGAAGACGTTCTCCACTTTACATAGAATGACTTCTATAAATTTTAGACTACTCCAAATGCTGAAGCATGTCATTTTATGTACAATATATTAGACATGACTACGGCTCAAGATGCATTAGACTAGTCTGAACGTGGTTTCCAGAAATTTCTGACTGGTCCAGATATAAAGTACGACGCTTCATGTGGAACAGACTAGACTGGACTCTCAAACAAAATATTTTGGACTGGACATGTTGCCTGTCCTATCCCTTTTTTTGCTCGCCTGGATGCTTCTTCTTTCCATAAAGAATTAAGAAAAGAAGAAGAAAAGAATCGCTTCTTGTGTTTTAACCGTAAGTATGAGTGAACGTAAGTTCAATTTTCTGGAGAAAACACTAACGATATAAAGGTAGGAAAGAATAGATGAAAGAGAAGAGAAACAGAACGCATACAAGCATATGGATGTGGCCAATCGGCTTGACATCTTAAGATTTATATGCTCATGTAGCTGGTATCAGTTATCAGAAAAATGTGAATTTTTTTTACCAATTATAGTATACAGATAATGCTAATGAATAGTTATTGTTTGAGCTGTATACCCTAATAAGAAAGAGAATTATCGATTGCTTTTTTATATGCAGTTTGTTAGAAGAACTCTGTATCACATTTTTTACACTTACATCAATTTCTATTAAATTATTTCAAACAACATGAGGTATCATTAACAAAGTTTTATTACTATGCAGTTAATTTGCAACTATACCCAACGTAAAATGTTGTATGCTGATAAGTGAAATATTCAGCCAATTGTAGAGTAGCTAGAATATAAGCGTCTTTGCAATTTTAACAAAGCTGGTGAAAGCCATCAATAGCTTCTTTATAAACAAGGCTCAAATAATAAAGAATTGAGAAGTATAGAACATCTTACGTCGGATATAGTTGAAAATAAACTACGTAGTAATAAAACTTTGTTATTGATACCTCATACTCTTTGAAATACTTTAGTAGGAATGGATGTATACCCTTGGACAAAAGTATTCTCCCTTTGTGTTTTTATAGTATCATACTTTGCATGAAATTTATTGCCAAATAAAGATATAACATAAGAGTTTTATTGCAGTATGGTGTACAGATCACACTGCAATAAAACTCTCATGTTATATCTTTATTTGACAATAAATTTCATGCAAAGTATGATAGTATAAAAGCACAGAGGGGGAAAGACTTTTGTTCGGAAGTGTATCATATGTCCATAAGGGGACTCATGATCTCGATCACGCTTGATAGAAGTAAGAGATCATTTCAAAATAACCTATATGACCAAATTTTGCGAACTGAACACGAATCTGAAGTCAGTTTTCATGATTTCTAGAGAAATTTGTAAGAGGTATGCCCTATGGTCAGTAGATAGGGTAACCAACAGTGTGGCCCATGCTAAGTTGGTCCCCCATCCGGCCTTTTGACCTTGACAATTTAGTGTCAAAAGATGCATCTTGGTGAAATCTTCGTCCGGTGAAAAAAGGACTCTAGGACCATGTACAGTACGGGAGAAAATTCCAAAATGCCGACCTCCCGGAACAAGCCATTTCTCGCATTTTGAACAGGTTTTGACCGATGGCGTCTTTATCAGCTTATATATCTAGGACTTGAATCGGATAAAGTTGTAGCCTAAACTGTTCTCTATAAAATGAGACGTTTCTGAGCTCAAACGGTCGAACCGTTCGTGAGATAATGTCAAAATACTGAAGATACCCTCAGAACAGCAGCTTTTCAGGTCAAAAATGATCCACTTAAACTTGTTTCAGCTCGCATTTTTCATAGCTAAAGCCAAATGACTTAATATTTTGGATTTGTTTATGTTTCCCCTAGACCTTTTATTTGAGATGAAAAAAATCGAAATCCTTTTTTTCTCCGGCGACCTTCGCATTGAGTAGGGGTCTCCTCTCACGGACTCTCTTAAAAATATCCAAAACACATCTCACTTAGGCTTCAGCTTCGAGTTTGATGCATATCTGGTTAAAATAACCTCATTTTTTTGTGGCTTTTTTCCGTTATTAGTACTTTTTGGGCCAAGAAAATTTCTGGCCTATCGATAAAAGCCTCGCCCATTTTGCCCATAATTTTTTTCCAACACTAGAGAAGTTTGCCCATTGGTCTAAAAATCCTGGATACGCCAATGGATGTATCTGAACAGATTTTCCTGCAGTAGTAATATTTCTAAGGGCTTTTGAACTGAAGGTTCCAAGGTTCTATAGGATTCTACTGGATTCCATCGGATTCCATTCGATTCCAACGGATTCCATTGGATTCCATCAGATTCCATTGGATTCCATCGGATTCCATCGGATTCCATTGGATTCCATCGGATTCCATCGGATTCCATTGGATTCCATCGGATTCCATTGGATTCCATTGGATTCCATCGGATTCCATTGGATTCCATCGGATTCCATTGGATTCCATTGGATTCCATCGGATTCCATTGGATTCTATCGGATTCCATTGGATTCCATGATTCCGTGGGATTCCGTAGGATTTCGTAATATTCCACCGGATTCCAGGATTCCGTTTTTTTCCCCTTGGTCTAGCCACATAGTGACCGAATGCTCCCACATCATTCAACCAACAGAAGATGACCATATATCATGTCCTTATTATTGGCATACTGATGACTATTAATATTTCAATAAAATAACACGAAATGCATTAGCAAATTGAACTCTGCATTTCTTTAAATATTTCTAATCAAGCCAAAAAAATTTATTATTCTATTGTTATTTATGTTTCAAAATGAATCGATTGCTGAAAAGCAAAAGTTGAGATTAGCAGATTGAACTTGTCTTTTCTTTAAAAGCTAAGTCTTTCTGTTTTTGACTCATTTACTCACACACCAAACTATATATTTTATTGAGAAAAGACAAAAAAAATTAGTATATTA